GTGGTAGTGCCGCGGGCCTCGTGCAGCGGGCAGCGCCAGGCTCGCCTCAGTTTAGCCAAAGCAGTGGTCCTGCTGGTTAAAATTAAACTCCTTTTAATCTCTGCTGCGTTAGTCTGGCCTGAATCGACCCCCTGCTGTGGAGCTGCCGGCCCCGAGGGGTGCTGCTGTGGGCAGGAGGAGGGTCGGTGGCTGCTTCTGGTGAGGGTTCCCAGTTAGGCTGGGTTACGGGGTTCATCAGGGCCCGGGGTAACTGAACGTGCCTTCTGCAGCGTCACCCGTGATGGCGTGGTGATGGGGCCATGTTATGTCATGGTCTTCCTCGCAGCTCCTGTGGTGTCATGGGTGACACAGCTGAGTCTGAGGTGGTCAAAAAGAGGGTGACAGTAACATCCATGGTCATTGGTGTCAAATTTTTCTTACAGATATACAAGAGCTTAGCGAGGTTTATTAGGTTGAGCAGGTAAGGACCTGATCCTGTGGTTTGGCTTTCAGTGACAGCTCTGTCCCTTGAAGGATCAAATCCTGGACAGCTACTGTTCAGATGGCTTTTTCAGGCTCAGTGCTCTTTATGCTGATATAAAATATTCCATACATGAAGGATTGTTCTTACTTACAGGTGTTTGTTAACAAAGCAGTGCCCCATTGCTCATCAAACCCGATGGTCCAGGTGCTGTATGCATGTTATGGTGCTGAAGTCAAGCCTAAGGACAGCTTAGTGCCTCACGTGTTCCTCACGATTTACTGGAGTGGCCTTTAGGCGGTGGTGAGACTAACAGAAAAAGACAGTAGTGAGTGTGGTCTTGGAGCTCTTTTCTCTTTTATTTCCCTCTCTTGGAATCTGTGACAGAAAGAGTGGCAAGGCGCAAACCAGTAGTTTCGCGAAGCTACTTTGGCCCTATCAGGGTTGTTAGTCTAAATATCAGTGTATCCATGTGTATGTGCATGTAACTGTCCTATCCACAATGATGCATGAAAACATCTGTTAATTACCAATAAATTACCAATAGAGAATGCTGTTGGTTTTTTGCCTTGGTGAGGAAATAATGTTATTGATTGGTGGGTATTTACATTTCTGGTAATTAATTCAGTTTTCCAAAATTTTAGGGAATTTAGAAGTTGTCAGCCAAGAGTCTATCCATCTGGTCAGGCCAGTGAGCGCACTGTGTCGTTTCCTTGGGAGGAAGACATTCACAACAGGTGTATTTATTCTTGCTGTTTATTTGAAAGCGTGTCGAGTTCTTGGAGCACAGCCCTGTTGCTCAGGAGAGGTACAAACAGGTAACTGCGAGACTGTCCTAGTCCTGAGTGCTGTCACCCCGTGGACAGATTTCATCTACACCAAGTCTGTTGCTTTAATAGCCAAGGGAGGTATCACTGTTGCTTCGGAGATGGGTTGGGTCAGCATGTTGGGAGCATGTGCCCAGCATAATAACAATCTCTTGTATTTTCATTTCAACCGTGTAAAAAAGGTGACTTCAAACACAGCAGCAAAATCAGTAGCTAACCTTGTAACTTTCCCCCACCCCTTTCAGACTCAGTTGAAAGGACTTCCTTGTATTCCTGTTTGTTTTACCAGGAAGGTTACGAGAAGAGATCCTACAGCTGGCTGATTAGTTATTCCAGCAGAGGGGTGGAGATTAAAAATGTCAAAAATTACTACAGAACTTCTTTTGGAAAGAGCGTTTCCAAGATCTACACGGCTCCGAAAGATCGAGACGCTGAAGTAAGTGCAGACAGGCCCATGGAAAATTCCAACTGTATTCAGCCTGGGCAACCCTTTTTTTGTCTTTCTTCCCCTAAGCATTTTGACTGAGTAAAGAGAGATGATTACAAAGCACAGAACAGGAGATGGCATTCTTGATGCAGGAGCGGTGAGCACTAGTGGAATTGCATTCACTACATAGGTTATCAGCAGTTACCAGCTCTTGTCACCATTTATATTGTATATGTGCTGCCACCTTCTTTCTGTAAAACTGCTTAAGGCTGGATCCTGATTTCCTAACCCTAAGACAGGCTCCCTACCCCTAAAATGCTTCTGTCTTTGCTAGCAGTTGCTTAATGTGAATAAGAGAATCTCTTCTGGCCTGGATTTCAGAAAGTTTTAAAAGTATTTTTGGCGTTATTTCCCCTCCCTTTCCCTCTCCCTCCATCACTTTCCATCTCCTCTAAATCCAGTTACGTTAGTACCTCAGACATTGCAGAGAGGGAGGATAGAAACCACTAAAAACAGTTTTGTTGCGCAGATCCTTAACAGAGGTTATTGAAAATACATGTCTTTGCAAATATTTAATACAGTGGAATTTTGCTATTCCAGAACTGGTAAATCCGAGTGACTCAGCTAGCCAGTTTCTGGCTGGCACCTTCGTTATTTTTGTTGCTGATGTAAGAATTTTGGGTTTCATACGTACTTTTTAAAGTTACTTCTTTTAGTTTGTCTTGTGCTAAAATAATTGGTTTTAGAGAGAAACCCAAAAGTTTATTGGAAGATTACAGGCTGCAATAATCTGAGTAACAAAGTGATGTTGAGGTGTTTGAAATAGTGAATGTCTAGAATGTGGCTTTTTCCATGCAGCTTTGTTCCATGATTTTGAAGGGTTATATTTCAGAAAGTCCGTTTGGAGAACACTGTGTTGAGTTTCTCCCCAAAATGACACAGTAATCACACTCAGCTTTGCAGCCAGCTGAATTCTGTTCAACCTTTCTTATATACTTTGGCTGATTAGGCTTCTGAGACGGCAAGTGAAGAAGAAGTGGTCTTGCTTCCTAATTTTATTTACCTCATTTATTCACACTTCATTTATATTTAGAAGGCCTTTTTTTACTAATCATTAGAGATGGAGATTCTGTTTGTTAAAGGAACTTTGGCTTGTGTCCTCAAGAGATGTTGGCTGTCAGGACCAGAAGCTCCCTTTGGAGCTTCAACTAAATGAGTTGATATTTGGTATGAGTCAAATATTTTACCACTTCTTTCAGGACAGAATGCTTCTGTTTTGGTGGCAGCCTTGGAATTTGGTTAGGTAGATTTCCATATTTGCCATTGGAAGTTTTTGCAGCAAAATTGACTGTAAAAGAAATGGAAAAAACACTTTTTTTTGTGAAGTTAGTTCTTTGAAAACAGTGAAATGATTTGGGGACCTACTCTGCACTTGGCCTGAACTTCTGATGCAGAGAAGAAAAGTTTTGAGCCAGATCAGCAAACCGATCCAACTTGACACATTGTTGTGTGAGTGCAGGTGTCAGCATGAAGTGAGGGGGAGGACAGGACTAGGCTGTTGGAATCACCATAGTCTCATATTGCTTACACCAGTTGTGAGATGGTGATGTCTAAAAACTGAGTGAAATAATGAATCCCTGTGGACAGGGTAGACTGGTGGTGTAGTGAATAAGTGTCTTGTATTGCCATGGCTTGTTTTGTTGAATTTATGTTGCAAAAGAATAAAATACCAAAATTCTCAGAGATGTAGTAATTTTTTCTACAAACAAGAACTTTTCCAGTGATTCACTGCTCACAGCCAGCTCTGTCCCCTGTAGGAGGTTTATCTGGATTGCAGGTTAATTGTACTGCAAACACTTTGGTAGACTTAAGTCTCTGATGGTGCCTGTTGGCTTGGACACAGCATCTTTTCCATGTATGTGTGCTTGCAGTCCAGCATGCTGCAGCCAAGAAAAAGCAGGTTTGGTCAGATTTACCCAGTGAGTTGTGCTAGACTGAGAGATGCCACCAGGTTGGACCTTGAATCCTGTGAAAGTCAGCACTTGTTTTTCCAATGAACTGCAGATAGTTCACGTTCTCTTTTGTTTTCAGCCTGTCCAAACTGCAGCTGAAGACTGGGGACTTAGATCCACGTTTGTTTTCCCGCCTGAGGCATCTGCAGAAACTAGATCTCTCTGATAATTTACTGGACAAATTTCCCAACAGTCTAACCCTGCCTGATCTGCGTGTCCTAAACTGCAACAACAACAAACTGGAAGATGTAACTGCTCTGAAACAGTTCCCTCTGCTTGAGGAGCTAACCTACGAGAACAATGTGTACTTGACAGTGAGTTACCTCCCATCCTTACAAGCTCAGCATTAAATAGAGGGGGAAACAAGCAGCGGTTATGGCTAGTTCTTATACATTGTTCTTAGGCAGCAAGTGTTAGGGCATCTGAGAAAGCAGCCAGTCTTTTTGCAGCTCCTTCACCAGTTTGTGCCGCTGTTTCCCAGTCTGGAGAAGTGACTTGCCCAAAACCACTCAGATAATAAAATCTGGGTATCTTGAACTCCTGATTCTCCAAGCCACAGTCCTATCTTGGGTAGCTTATCAGGTAGGATATCTTATGCTCATGCTTGTTTAAAGTAGAGTAATGACTGTGTGGAAATGTCCTTCTTATACGTTAGTTAGTTTTAGTGCCCCTTGTGCTCTGGAAGAGCAGACTTCGTCCTCTGATGAGGGGTTAAACTTGATGATTAGTTTAGGTTTTCTGACTTCTCCCAAGAGGCTCTGCTGACTGTACTGTTTAAGCATCCGCAACTGTAATTTTACTTGTGCTTCAAACTGGCATCAGCCACCATCGCTGTCCCCAGATGCTTATTTGCTGTTGCATGCTTGGCAGAAGTATTTGTGTGACTGTATGGTAAACTGGATTGGGGAACTGGTCTGACCTAAAACGCAGCTGTCCCAAGGAAGGCCTGCTGGTATTCGTTTACTGTAGGCAGGGCAGGCCTTCCTCTGCATTAGATGCGCACTCAGAGTTAAAGGATGTGAACAGGATACCCTGCGTTGCACTCGGGCCGGAGCAAGATGAGCCTGATTACACCACCACCACCTTGTGTTGGATATTAGTACTGCTTTAAGGTCCCTACTCATAGGAGAACGTTAACGTACAGCGATACTCAAGTCGGAAATGCTGAGAAGATTTTACGAAATGGCTTTTCCTGACAAAATATATTCTTCTCATCCTTGGCTGTATTTTAATAAAGGACTAAAGCTAAGGCAAGTACCATGTGTACAGTTTTTGTAACGCTGATATCTTCTCTTTCCAGCTCAACGATGACTATAAAGTAATGTTTCTTTTGCAAAATCTTCGGCTACTCAATGGCAAGGATATAACCAAACTGGCTAATCATGTGAGGCGTGTCAATAGTCGTAAGCTCACCAGCAAAGTAAGATGTGTGATTTTTTTTTTTTTCTTCTTAATCTCTAAATGCCTGAGAAGTAACTAAATACTGTGCTCAGTTTAATGACAGAGTTGCAAACAAGCATCAAATGGTTAACAATAATTCTGGTATGATCTGAGCACACAGCCTGCAGTATGGGCCACCTAGGAAATGTCTTACTGCTGCTTTCTCTGGTCACTGCTTGCACTTGCTCTACGTGTTCTGTGTAGCCAACTTCTGCCTTCAGTTTAAAAGGAGCAGGGCCAGCAAGGTCTGTGTCTGACCCTCTAGTTTTTCAGGTCACTCTGATCATCATTGAAAAATGGGAGAAGCCTGGTTCTGACATAATAGCTGCATACACCTCCCCATGTAATTTCCGTTACTGTCCTGGCCCCAGGAATGGGGAGCACAAAACCAAGCTCAGGATAATCTTGCTTTTTCCAGCATACACCGGGAACAAGGATTTGTTCTTTCTTCTTCAGCTGTGCGTGTTTGGAACTGTGTTTTCACTCACTTACGTACACAGTTTAGCTCCTGAGAGATTGCCCCTACAAAGCATGTTGTGATCTTGAGCAAAATTATTGTTCTATTATGAAAAAGGGATTTTTTTTGTGCAGTACTGCTCTTACTGTTTGTATTCTAGTTAGTTGATCTTGATAATTCCTTCTGTGTAGCAGTAGTGGAGAGATCAAATACCGAAGACTGGGATGGCTTATTGTGCTAAGTGTTATCTGTGTAATGCCTTGTACCTCAAAGGGTCTTAGCGAGGGCTACTCAGCCTCTTATCCTCCAGGCAACTGGGCATGGCTGGCTGTTTAATTTTGTGCTGGTATCCATGCCCCAGATACCTTTCTGTGATGGTATTGCTTTGTACCTGGCTGGCCAGTTCTTACTGCTGTGTCTAAATGTGAAATGTCTGTGGGATAAATGGGGATGACATGTGCACCGGCCCTGCTCACAGGCACACTTGAACTACAAGAAAACTCAAACATCCCCGTTTATCCTGTGCCTGTAATAATAAATTAGTTATCTGTCAGGTACTCCCTGTTAGTAGGGCACAGTGTAAGACTCCTTAAGACCATTTGCTGTGGATCCAAAGACACAGTATCAGGCATTGCTCTGTGTCCATGTTGACAGTATCTGCTTAGCCACACTTACTTAAGCTTGCTTCAGAGGAATTGTGTTTCTTGTTGGATGAAGTCGTGGTTTGAACACTGATAAAATAAACGGAAGCAGTGCCATCATGTAGCTAGCAGAGCCTGAGGGTTGGCAACTTCTTAAATGTTCTCACGAGTACTCTTGTGCTTTTCTGCTCTGGTTTTCTGTAGTATTCTGTTGAATAAACCCAGTCTTTCTGCCTAGGTTACTGCTCACTGGGAAAAATTCTTCCGTGACCAACTTCCTGAGAAATATACAGCGGAACAAGTGAAGTCAATCAGGAAAAAGTTCCTGAAGTCAGTACAAACCAATGTAGTGTATGGACCCAGCTCTCTCAGTGAATTCACCCGCTGGCGGGTAGGTTACAATTCACTTACCCTTCTGCTCTTCAGGCAAGGACTCTGCAGCCTGATTCTGAATGGATTTGATTAAAATGGTCTATTGATTTGGGTTCAGGGTATCAGGGCTCTTGCAGAGAGGTGGTATCACTTTTTCTGGTTTTCTTCACTGCTTTGTTAAGCAGTTACAGAAGCACTAGGACTAAATAGACACCAAGTTGCAATGACTGTCATTAAACATTGTTTTTTAATTCACAAGCAATAATGATACTTGTACTAATTAAGATGACTGCAGTATCCTTAGTACTTAATTATTTGCAAATAACTCTTAATGGCAACCTTTAGTCTTGATGGAAGCTGTATGAGAGGAGAAAAGATAATGACAGAACTGTAGTTAATGCCAGTGGGGAAAGATACCATTTAGTTTGTAACATAAGTTTTAATTGTATGTGCATACATACAATTGAGGCTTCCATCTCGCCTTTGTCTTGTTTCATTGCTGTGCTGTTGTTTTTGCAAATGTGTACCCTGGATGCCCATGACAAAGTGAGGTTCTTGGGTTGTGTCATGTCAGCAGAGGACTTGGCCTGCCAGGCTCTCAGCTGAGGACTCCTCCATCACTTGTGAAATTCATGTAGAATAGTGGAAGCAGATATTAAAAACTCAGCAAGGCAGCTCTTGTCATTACACATCAGAGTTTGACTGCTGTTGCTTTTTGTCTCTCTCTTTTTTCTTTTTCTTTTTTTTTTTTTTTATATATCCACATATTTGCTTCTAAGGTGAAAATGATTGCAGAAGAGTTTCTGGCATACTCACTGGGTCTGGAGTTAAACACAGATCCTGAACCAGAGGAAAAGATGGATGAGAATGAGGAAGAGAGTACAGAAGACCCCAGTGAAGCTGCAGAGGATGTGGGTCAGGTAGGTGATTTTTCCAGTTACATTAACAATGTCCTTTTAATTTCTTAAGAATTCAGTAGCACTTGTCATTTTATGTTTATGACCCTTTGGTAACTGTAGGGGCAGCCTCAGGCTCCAACCTGTTTTCAACAGCTGAGGCTTTTTCTTTACATGGTCAGACTGAAGCTTTCCCAGCACTGTGAAGGTTGAGTTACTCTCCAAGAGGAGAGAGCTTCCGTTCTCATAGGAGACCCAAAAGATTTCATGAGTGTAGTCCTACTGACTGCACCCCTCCTTTCAGGAACGGGTATTTTTAATGAGAGAACTAGGCTGATGCATGGCCAGACTGATGGTGCTTGCCACCTTTGAAATGGCTGCAGACTGAACCCCCTTGGTCCATGGGCCAGATTTGTTTTTCCACATCATATGTAAATCACAAGTAACTGGGACAAGGAAAATGAGGCTGGCTGTGTGATTTTCATTAGCTTCTGCCTCTAGGAACTCTGCAGCCTTGGGCTGTCTGATTCTTGGAGCCCAGTCTGTAACCGTGGGAGGGTACTTGCATTTGAATAATTAATGTCTCTGACTTACAAATCATCTGCACATCTCAGGGAAGCTATAAACCTTCTGCAGAAACTGACAACATGCCTTATAGGTCACAGTAACGCCCAGCAAGAGGAAAAGAAATCATTCAAAACCAGGCTCTGGAAACAAGAGGTCCAAGTCCCAGGCAAACACCGAGAAGGAGGCTGTAGTTAATCCCAGAAAGTCCAGTCATGTGCAGGATGACGCAGCTCCTGATAAACCAAGAACATCGAACCAGCCAGTCAAAGAGGCAACCCCTGAGCAGGAAGCTGAAGGGACACCTAAGAATGGAGAGCCATTTCCCAAGGGGCAAAGCAACAGAAGATCCAGCCAGCTGACAGGGGAACAGAAAAGCCAGGAGCAGGACAACGGAGTTGTTAGCTTGACCCCAGTGAAGAACTCCAAGGGCAAGGTATGTTCATCAGCCCCCTTGGGACTGGCTTTCAGCCTCTTGGTTTAGTGGGAGGAGCTGCATTCAGATTTCATCAGAGCTCTACACAGCTTGGAGCTCATAATTGGCCAGATATATTGTGAGTTATGGTTTTTGCTTTGTTTTTTTTATTGTTGTTTTAAATCTCTCAGAGGCATCAGGGAAGGCCCTCCCCGCCCGGAGACAGTGAATCCCCTGCAGGGGATGGATGGACCAGCACTCTGAGGTGGTGCACTGAAAGCCTGTTCTTAGAAATGGGGCTGGCGTGACCTGCTCTCAGGTCAAACTGGTGGCTGCATGGGGAAAGGTGTTTCCCCCTCAGCTCAGACCAGTGGGGATCTAAAGGGTTTTTCACATTTCTCTGCCGCAGGAACTGGGGTTCACTGCTGGGGTCTGCTGGGCACATCTTTTTCTAAACAGTTGCCTGCTGGTTTAGGAGTCTTGAGCATTGGTGGCATCTCAGTCTCTCCTGTTCTCTGTAGCACAGAAGGGCTGAAAAATACTTCAGTTTAACTCAGATTGCTGTGTTCAGTAAAGGGTTCTGTCAAGGCAATCACAGGCAAACCGCTGTGAGGGGAATGAATTTTCTAAATGTGGATGGTTTATTGTAGGAGGATGTCAGTGCAGAGCCATTGCATTTTCTTCAGTGTCACAGTAAAGGCAACAGCCGCGAGGATTTTAAAACGCAGCTCTGGTCCTGTGTCTTCGAGCCATTGCTAGACTGTGGAGCCAGGAAAGGTGAGCTCTTAAAAGAGGTTTGCAGGATTCCTAGAACCACCCGGCTCTGGAATCCCAGTGGACTCCATGCGTTAGACCCCTGCTCCTTCAAGCTGTAGTCTCCGTTGTCAGGAAGAGACTTGCTTACATACTACTTCTTTGACTTTGAAAACAGGAGACTGGGAGAGCACCAGGCAGTGATAAGCTGCAGTCTTCATGTGCTATCCGTGAACCTGGGAACTTCTCACCTATTCTTTTCATCTTTCAGATCCCATTGTGAGCTCCTCCAGAACCGTGGCAACATGTGGAGGGGAATCTGTCTGTCTGATTGATTGTGAGACAGGGACAGTGCTGAAAAAGTATAAGGTGGCTACAGAGGTAAGTTGCAAGTGGGAAGAGTAAGCATCGGATGGAAATACCATAATCTGTTACAATTACATACATGTATACATAATATATATTACAGAGAGTTCTGAAGGGTTTCAAGAGTTAGCGTGGACAGGTCTTAAAAGGACAAAGACAGATAGTAAACATTTCTTCCTTTTAACCTGGTTTGGTTTTATTTTTTTATTAGTTTAAAAGATTAAGTCTGCCTCTCTTCTCCTCACAGACATACATGTGTATCCAGGCTGCTAAGACTGCTTGATGGCCTGGAGGAACAAACATCCTGTTGTGATAGTTTGTGTTCTTTGAAATTCAGTGCTCCCACTCGAATAGTCATTTCACCTGAATAGCTCTCGTGATAGTTGTCTTATCTGTGAGCTTATCTGTGAGCCATCCTGCTGGCTGTTCTCTTTCGCACTACCCTTGGTTTCTTTCTATTCCAGGAGTTTTTCAGTGTTGCATGGACAACCCTCACAATGGTAATCAGCGACAGTCGGAAAAAATCTCATAATATCTTGGCGGCTGCTGGGAGGAGAGGGATCGTCAAACTGATTCATGTGGCGGCTGACTTCTGCTATGGAGAGATAAAGGCTCATAAAAAGCCCATTGCTACTGTCTGCTTCAGCCCAACTCAAGAAACGCACCTCTTCAGTAAGTCTCTGGTTCAGAATCTCTTTAGCTTTAGTAGCTAATGCAGAAAAGGCCGGGCTTCCTTAACAAGGGGGATTGTCACCAGTGCAATCAGGTGCGGGTAGGGACCGCACGCACACACAAAAAGCATGGACAGATGTTATGGAGAGAGTATTGTTAGTCTCATATGGCAGTCATCTACAGAAGGTACAAACTGGTTCAGCCACAGAGCCCGACTCTTTAGCTGAGGTGCAGCAGCTCCTGTTTCTCTCTCGGTAGCTCTCAGGGTGGCTGTCACGCACACACTAGCCACAAACCAACCCAGCAGTGGATCCGTTCTGCAGGGATGAGTAAGAAGAATGACAGCCAGAGCAGCCTGCTGGGGGCCAGGCAGCAAGTGGTCAGCTGGCAGGGCTCTCCTCAAGCATGGCAACAGGGGCAATGCAGCGTATAATGGGCTGTTGCATTTAATTTTTTCCAGCAAGCAAAACTATGCACTTAGTTGCCTTTGAATAAATGAAAATTTTTTTGAGTTCTGTGCTTTGTCAGAAATCTTTTGTTCAGGTCCTGATGTAGAAGAGAGCTTTGCCACAGTAGGGCCCACAGAGGCTGAGGCGTACGGACTGGTAGGAAATGAACCATCATATTACAAATTGCAGCTGCATTGTCAGGCCTGTGAAGTAAGCTGTTACAGAGCCATTCAGACCACACCTGCACCCCACAGCACATTGTTTCTCTTGCCTACAATTACCCACATCCTGGAGTGGTTAGAGTGCTACATGAACCGTTCAAAGTGGCATTTTTTTAAAAGATGGGTATTGTAGTGGATACTTTTCAAGAAGAGCCTCTGCAAAAAGCAGAAGCCTAGAGGGATAAGGAGGCTGATAGCACATCCATATAATGGCGTGTACAGCAAGGCTCATTATATTGCATAGACAAATGTATAGTAATAAAGTGACAGTCTTTGCGTGCCTGTTTGGGGCCTGGACACTAACCCATTTACTCCAAGTTTGAGGGATGCCATCTGATTAGGATCCAGATTACTCTGAGTGATCTATTAGGATTGTTTCTGCTGTCAGTATAGCAGCTCGGTGACAAAGACATTAAGTGTCTTTCACACTTTATGTCAGTGCCTGACTTTCCCAATGGGAGCTGCTGTGGATGTGAACACGGTAAGCCGTGGATATGTGGAATAAAGTGGCGTCTGCCTGAGAGTAGAGGTTGGAGCTCATATTTTAGATTCCACTAGAACCCATGACCAGAAGCATGAGCTCAGAGGGGCAGTAGTTAATGACCTAAGCCACAACTTAGTAATGGACACCAGGAAACAAACTTTCTTTTATCTGCTCCTCTTAGAGCACAGGATAAGAATGCAAATTACTGACCATGCATGTTTGACAATGTCTGTGAAGTGGTGTTGAGCCAGGAGCCTTGGTGACTGCCGCTGTGCTTTAATGAGCTCTCTGATGCCACAGGCTCAGAGTGTTACAGCCTGTGACACAGGTAGAATTGCCAGCTAGCACGAGAAGAGCCAGATGAGCAGCGGTGTCACTACCTGCTTCTCTTCTGTGTCCCACAGCTGCATCCTATGACAAGCGAATTGCACTCTGGGATATTGGGATTCCAGACTGTGACTACAATTTCAAAGCAAGGTAAAGGTTCAAAAATGAGATGTGGCCAGTCCAGGAGCCTATAACTATCATGTCGCAGCACCGCTTAACTGCTTGTTCTCTTTTTTTTTTCTTTTTAGCCAGCTGCTGGTGCTGGAAGCACTCTCTATTCCCTTACGGATTGTGCTGGTCCCCACCTTCCCAGAGCAGTACCTGCTGGCTGGCTGTGAAAGCGGCTGCTTTGCCTGGAATATAAAACTGGATAAGGAAGAAAAAAGCAGGTGAGAACCAAAAGCATGCATCTGCTTTCCATAACAAGAAGAGGTAGTCTTAGCAAAGGCTTTATTTCTAACCGAGGTCTGAGCAAGAAAAGCAGCATGTCCTATCAAACTTAAAACATATTCCCCTTCCCATAGTGGCAAGAAAAAATCCTAGCATCACGCTAAAGGAGTGCTCAAAGCTAGCAGCCCTGAGCTTGTACTGATGCTCCAGTCTACAAGTGTTGCTGGCTGCTTTGAAGGAAGGCTGACATGAGCATAATACAATACCCTAAAACTTTAAGTAGTGTAAGGGAGTGTAAATTCTTGGATCAAGTTCCAGTTTCACAGCAAGGCCTACCTTGCTTCTGGTACGTGGGGTTACCCAGGAAACTGGCACTCTGTGGGAACACAGAAAAAAATTACAAGAAAGCAGCGAGTGAAGTCATGCCCTGCTGACATATACTAAGCCTGATGCCTACAAGAACAGATGAAGTAAAACAGCAGTCTCTTAAGCAAATGGGTTTCTGCCATATTAATAAACACAGGTGGCCAAAACCGTAAGTTCAAGTGGGAATTCATCTGTGTTTGGTGAAAGACTGAGTAACACGTGAATTTCCTTCTGGGTTCTGTACCCGAGCATCCTTCCACTGCTGCCTGTTCAGAACTCTACTCATTTCACCCTTCCCCCTACTCCAGGACTTTTGAAGCCGTATTCCAGTTTCCTGAGGAGGATGGAAGCCTGACAACATCTCACAGGGTTGATGGTTTGGCTTTTCTGAATGATGATGTCGTTGGTGAGTATAAACACAATAGCCCAATCCAGAAAAAGTCAGGCACCTCAGCCTGTGGCAGGCTGAAGCCAGCATGATGAGCAGAGGGACTGAATGGGGCGTGACTAACTCTTCTTCAGATTTTTGGGGGCTACACAGAATGGAGTTGTCTCCCAGAGTCACTTACCTTTCCCTAAAATGTGGGCTAGAGCTACAAACCCATGTGTGGGCAGGACTGGAAATCAGATGGACTCATCCCTGAGAGCACGGTTGGCCGAGCAGCACTGAAGTGGAAGGGAGGAGAGCTCCTTTCTGCTCAAGCGCTGATGGCAGCAGTATTTTTTTGCAGGGGGATGGGGGAAAGTTTAAGTATGGGCGGGTCTTTCTGAATAGTTTATGCTTGTTCTACAGTTTAGGAACATAAGCATGGGACTGAAAATCCCTCTGCAGCCTCCAGTTATCCTGAAATAAGGTAAAGGAGGTGGAAGCAGTTGCTGCTGGTTATCAGGTCCCACGTCTTAAAAGCCACCTTCTGGATGGACCCCACCTTCACCAGAGGCCAGCCTTTGTTTTGGGGCATTTCACTTCTCAGCAGCTGACTCAGCCTCTCCCCTCTTTCTTCCCTAGTTTCCAAGAGCTCTAAACCGGGATGCATATACTTATGGAGCTGGAGTCGGTCTTTTGATGCAAAGGGGAAAGGCTGCCAGCGAACGGCATCTGCAGTTATTCTAGCTGAGCTCGAGTGGTCCGCGACAGACCTGTCCTACCTGACACTCAGCACCTGCCCAGGTAGGCAGCACCCTTCCTCGGGGCAAGCGGTGAGGCCGTACCAGTCACTGTAGCAGAGGCAGCTGCATGGGTCAAGATTTACTTTGAACCTGTCAGAGGAGCCTGTAGATTAGAGGCAGAGGCCTGGATGTCACTTCCTGCCGGAGAGAGCGTGTCTGGCCGCCCCTCTGCAAGCAACAAGAGCCCCCTGACTCCCTGCACCGCAGCTCCAGTACAGTGCAGCAACAGCCCAGCACCAGCTGTATGTAGATAATATAAATAATAAAAAATCACAGCTATACCATCTGCCATACAAGGGGGAAACAACTGAGGCTTTACAGCATGACCTGGACTGCTACATTACCAACATGGCCTTCCTTGTACAGGTCTTCAAAGCACACCGAGCTTTGGCTTGGCCCTGTAGCTTTTCTGCAGCCATTTTAATACTCAGTGTAACTAAAGTAAGGGGTAGGAATGCCACACAATACAGCTGGCTTTTAAGACTAACAAGGAATAGACAAACCTTTCCAAAACAAAAAAAAAAGTCTAAAAAAATTCAGAAGAAATCCCAAAACATTTATCGCTAGCTTTTCTCTATTAGAGTAAAAGACAATTTGTCTTTAAATGAATTGAGTTTTTTCAGAGCAAAGTAGATCAATATATTAGTGCTGGGAAGAGAATTTTGCTGGAATGTGACATCCTTCATTGGGCTCCTACAGCACTGTCTTGAGTTCTGCTTTATAGCAGAACGGACTCTCAGTTCCACACTCATTTTCCAGCTGCTTCTTTTGGTCTTACAGCAAAAGCCTACGTGTTCTGTGGTGACGAGAAGGGAAGCGTGTGGATGTACAACCTCTCAAACTACACCGCAGCGTGGAGCTCTGCAAGGGGAAAACGCTCAGACAAGAGGATCCCTCCTGCACAGGTAGGTCCCACTTCCCTGGCCTCCAGAGATAGAACTCTTTTGGGCAATTACTGTTCCCTTGCATGACAAAGGCACACACACTCAAAGGCTCTCACTCCAGAGCGTGGCCTTGAGCCATCATTACGTATAGGTATGACATGGCCTAGTGTTCCATGAACTTTTTGCAAGAGTATTGTCCAGGTCAAGAGCCAGGCCGACCTGCTTTCACTTTTTCCTTTCAAGTCCCTCTGCACCAAACCCTGCTTCTTGCTGCACCCCTTCCCTCAGGAAGGGGAAGAACCTTTTTATTCAGCTTCCCCAGCTCAGTAGGGAAGCAGATTCCACAGAAACCCAATCATCAAACCAGGCCTTGCAGTAATTGATAACCTCCCGCTTCCAGAGACTATACCACTGGTCCTTTCCTACCTAAACTCTGTTCTCCTCATAGATTCTCAAGTGGCCAGAGCTTCGAGCCAACGGGGAGCAGCTGACTGAAGTCCTAATAAACAATGTGGTATCAGACCCTACTTTTACTTACCTTGTTGTTCTAACTAGTGTGAACATAACAGCAATTTGGAAGAAGTCATAGTTCCTTGTAACAGAGTTTCATTCCCGTGCTTTGAAATAGTGCCAGTATTAGTGACTGTTACCCATGTAACCATGAAGTTTTCTAGACCAGCTATTATGTGCAAAAAAAAAAAAAAAAAGTAAGAGTTTGTTAAACTCATCAAGTCATTGTAAACATCTGGTTTCTTTTACTGTAAGTTTTCACAATTTGTGCATTTGTTTTATAGAAATGACACTTAATAAAACACTTAATAAAACAAAATACCAGTTCAGTTGGCGGTGCCTGGACTTTTTGAAGAGGAAAAGCAGAGAGTTTATCTGCCACTCAGCAGCTCAGTACAAGTATTTGCCTTAAGGCTCCAATTAGAAAAGTAGAAATCATTTTAATGACTTATCCATCAAATCAAACAAGACATTTATCCTCTTGGCAAAGTGCTAGTCTGGTATAAAAAAACCAACCTGAAAATATCACTGCTGCTGTCAAAAATTAAACATAAGTGGGACAAGGAGGAAAATATTTGCCATGAATGGAGATTCAGCTAACAGACACATCGTTCTGCCTCAGAAGTACAGTCTGCTCTGAACGGGCTGATTTTACTCGATTCCTTCTTGTTTGTCTTTAATAGCAACCTGTAAAATACAAACAAAAACACATATGTTAAGACAAGAACCGCTACTGAGCTGGAGGAGGTTAGTTTAAACATTCGTAACAGTCTTCTGTGAAACACAAGAACCACCACAACCATCAGTGGAAATCTCTACACCATCCAGAAAAATAATACTTAAATTAAAATCAAAACCACATTTACATAATTGGTGCACTGTTACCTTTTACCAGTACACCATAGAATACTGCACAGACACTGTCCTATTCAGAGTCCCCCTGGTTTTATCTGAATAACCTTTTGGGCAGATTAAGTCTCAAAAATCAGGGGCTAAATAAATACATACAATTGCATAGCTAAGCAGAAGCAATGAAAACTGGTAAAAAAAAAAAATACTGTCCCAGAGTTTTGGCAGAAGTAAAAAAAAAAAGGGGGGGGGGGGGACACACACGGGAGAAGA